AAAAATAAATTTAATACTTTCAAATATAGAGAAAAAAACGGTCTTAATTATTTAGTATTCAGATCTTAATACAACATATTAATATTCAAATGTGTATTCAAATTCAAAGGTATTAATCTTAATTCACATATTAATATTCAGATGTGTATTCAAATTCAGACGTCTTAATCTATACCATATTAAAAGCACGAAGGCCTTAGCGAAATGTCGTTCGCCGTTTTTACCCTCTAAAGATAAAGTTTATACTAGACAAAATAGTCATTTAATTATTTCCCTAATATTTTGGACTTTGAACAACAACAACAACAATAACAACGACCCAGTATAATCCCACAAGTGGGGTATGGGGAGGGTAATATGTACGCAGACCTTACCTCTACCCCGAAGGGCAGAGAGGCTGTTTCCAGGAGACCCTCGGCTCAAAAAAGCAATAGGAGATGATATATTAGTACCATAAAAATGTGTAATAAAAATAACAACAATATATAAGAGATATGAAATATGAAATACAGAATACGAAATACGAAATATGAAATAGATGGCTGGTATAGTACAACTAGAAGGTAAAGCCCTGCATCAATAGACGACCAATGACATTCCTAGTCTAACTCCTAACTGGATAGTCTCACTCTATTGTGCTGTAGAAATATTCACACTCTCCCCTAACCTACAACCTTAATGCTCGACCTCCATACTTCCCTATCAAGGGCCATGTCCTCAGTAATCCTAAGTCGCGAGGACTCTTCTTAAATCCTTCTAGGTTTCCAAGTTTGTTCCAACGCTTTGCCCTTTCTATTTTGATAGAAATAATTTAATTATTCTTGGTCTCAAACTTAGATAGTTAATTATAATAAAATTCTATATATTTTCAAATCCCCTTCACGCATATTTATTTTTCAAGTCTTTAACCTTTTTGTTTTGTTATAAATAATTTAAATTTTGTTTGAACTTGAATAATTAAATATAATAAAATTAAATCTTTGGTAAAATCCAACTTATACATAATTTTTACATCTTTTTAGTCTATTTCCATTAGAGTTATCGGCTAATTTGGTAACCAAAAGCGAAAAACAGGCAAACTAAATTTTTTAACAAATTGTTATTTTAAATTTTTGTTTCTTTCTCCGTTTATTGAAATGGTACGTTAACTTTTTGATAGATTTAACTAGAACCGTCCCAAAATATTGGGGCAACTGTGCATCTCATCATTAGAGCAATAAAATTTATATCTATTTATCTATACTATATTAAAAGCATAAAAGCACTTAACGAAATGTTATTCCCTTATTTTACCCTTTAAATTTTTTTTATATTAGACGAAATAATTATTTAATTATTGTCTAATTAAGAATTTTAAGATCACCTAAAATTTTATAATTATATTTTTCTTAATTAAACTAGGTAGGAAGGGACTTTAAAATCGAATAACACTTTTACCTTATATAGATTTCCTTATTTAAAGACCATTAATATTAGAGTTGTATTGAATTATTCCTATGAGATTCTTTACTATGCAAAATGTGAGTTAGCAATTACGAATTCTCAAATAAAGATTCAAAACATATGATTTTTCTTACTATAATCGAATTCTTATTGGAAAAAAAAATAATTATTGTCAAATATTTAAACATTAGAATAAGCTAATATTTAGAATTTAAATTAATAAAAACTAAGTTATTTCTTTTAATGTTTAGAACAAATAATTAATTATTGAATTAACTAATTAGCAAATCCAATTTAATTTATTTTACAAATTTATCATATAAGAAAATTTATTTGTTAAATTGACAAAACACTTAATTTATTTTTATAAGAAGAGTATCGATGGTGAAAGAAATCATAAATATAGCAAAGTCAATTATAGTATAAAATTAAGATTCAAATAGGTAAAAGTACAAATTAGCAGTAAGATAAAATTGTAGAAGACAACCAGTTATAAATAAGTTGTTATTTGTTTCTTTCTTGCATTCAGTCCAACAAATGAAAACGTCTCGCTAAATATTTATACTAAATTTTTTCTTGTAAAATATTAGTTCCATATTAGTCATTCTTTAAATGTTAAAATTGTCACTATCAAATTTTTAGAAGATATAACACCAACTTTTTTTAATTTATTTTTAATTTGTATTGTTTGTCAAATCTTTAAAGAATTGTGATAAAAAAAATATTTTTATATTTTATTTTCAGTATTAAGTCACATAAAAACAACAATTTTTATTTCGACATAAATCCAGATAAATCGCAATAAGGCTCTAAATAAAATTCCTTCATTTGTTAAGCTAACTCATGAGAATAATATTTATTATTTAAAAAAAATCTTAAATTTTATTTTATAAAATAAATTATCTAATAATATGTATGTAATTTTAAAATTTATATATTCATTGATATAGGTACACGCGCAAAGTGCGTATCCTAATACTAATATTAATAAAAATAAATGAGGCCTTAGTGACTAATTTTGTCCCCACTTGCAACTGCATGTTGAAAGAATAAAGAGGCTGGATATGACATGAAGTGACGAAAAGTTATAGGAAAAATTATGTAAATTGTGGCCGAATTCTGGTTTTGAAAGATTGAAGTGCTAAAATGTGGTTTTCTTCACTTGGCTTGAGTTCACAAGAGAATTGCTCTAAATCTACAAATTGGTGAATATGCCTTGACAAAAGTTGTATCTCTTTAAATTTAGTTTTCAGAAATTTAAACCGCTTGTCATTCGATATCACTACAAAAGTTATGGCTATTTTAGTAAAAGAAGGGTAATGTTGTTATTTCTAAAAAAATCTTCAATTGTTATATATAACCTCATTTAGTAATTGGACTTTATTTTTATTATATTGAGAGTTAGGGAGCCCAGATTGAGGTAATTATATTGAGAAATTTTATCTATTTTATTGGGTAAGTAATACTAACTTAGATCCAAGATTACTACATGAATCTAACACCAATTTTGCCTTTGAATCAAGGAATCTAAAGGTAGAAAAAGTGAGTTTAGCTTGAAAGATAAGAAAGTATATTTTGTGAATTTGATCACTGATTTGGACTCGAATTTTAAGACTAATTACATATTTAAACTTGAAAGGGTATAAAATTTGGTCTTGATCCCGAGTTTTGACCATATGGGCCCGGGATAACTTTTTGTTTACTTTTGAAATTTTGATAAAGATTGAATCTTTTTCGGAATTAATTTCTATAGCTATTTGACCTTGTTGAGTATTCTTTGGCTAGATTTCAGGAATTTAGAGCTGATAATAGAGAAAAGTATATTTTAAAAAGTTGAAGCCTACTCCAGATAAGGTAAGTATCCGGGCTAACCTTGACTTGGGGGAATTTCTCCTAAAAATGAACTTATTTGCTACATGATACATGTTTGGGAATAACGTATATACGAGGTGATGAGCGTATATGCGTACACCTAGGATTACCAATTTACCATGCACGGGGTAGAATTTAGGCATTTTTATGTCTTGTTTCGATTTATATTCCTTTTTTTAACATGCCTTGCTTGTTTTGTATGACTACTTGGCATTCCTATTCAAGCTAGAAATCATGACTAAGGCTTGATGCTTTATGTGGACATGATGGACCTATCGTATGGTGATTGACCTGTGTAACTATAGGTATACGTACTTTTATGCATTTCATCATGCATGCTAGTCTCTTGTATATATGCATGGCGAGGATGAGCGGGATATTAGCATGATGGGTATTTCTGTGCGGATTATTACATATGCATAGTAAGGATGGGAGACATATTGGCACGATGGGTGTTTTCGTACGGATTGATGACTGATTGTCGAGATATTAATATTGATATGGCATATGAACTGAATCCATCCTTCCGGAGTCACATGATTTTCCATCTTACCTAGAAACGTGCGTGCACGGATTTGTTAGACACTTGGAAGAGAGATGCAAAGTTTGAGTCTTTATCATGCATACACATTCTAGACTCATGTAGAAGAATTCATATAAACATTATTTCTTAATATCTTTTTTTATATGCGGATTTGGTGCATTGATTTATGCTTGATCATATTATCTAGAAAGCATGCTCATTATATATTCATTTGATTATGCACCTTGCTAGTTATATCCAAGGCTTCTTAGTTATTTTTTTGTTATTGTGCAAACTTATGAACTGTAAATGTTATGAGAAGTGAGTATCTTTTGTCAAAATCTCGCTACTACTTCGTTCGGGTTAGACTTGATACTTACTAAGTACACGTTAATTTCATACTCATCTACGCTTCTATACATTTTTTTGCAGATCTTGAGCCTGGTACCGTTGGGACCCAGGAGGCCACTTAGTTGTTGACATAGCAGAGACTTTGTGGTGAGCTGCTGGGTTCGGTTTTGCAGCTTATGGAGTTCCCCTCTGCCCTCTTTATCGTTTCTAATTCCAGATAGTAACTTTTGTATTTTGAGTCTATGATGTATTCTGGTTATAGATGCTCATGATATTGTGACACTTGGTCTCAGGGTTGTTGAGAAATGTTTTGTTTGGATCAGATTTGTTTCTGCCGATTTCTATCTATGACAGTTAGATTTTATTTATATTATCTTGTTATGAGTAATTGTAAGTATTGGCTCGCACAGCCGGCGCGTTAGGTGCTATTACGACCTTGGTGATTGGGTAGTGACATATATACTTCCCTTCCTTGCCTAAATTTTCTGAGTCGTTCTCAGACAGTGTAAAACTGCAAACCCCAGTTAAAAGGTCATCCCAATCAAATGGACAAAGCCTCCTAATGGACAACTAAAGCTTACCTCTTATGGATGCAGCAAAGGAAATCCAGGCCTGGCAGGTGGAAGAGGGTGCCTAAGAAATCAGAATGGTGATCTTGTTATGTCCTCCATTTTCTTTGATAACTGCACCAACAATATGGCTTAGGGTAAAGCTATTTCGGTGGGACTGCAGTGGTGCATTGAAAATGGATACAAGGAGATCCAAGTTGAGCCTGACTCCTTAATCCTAATTAATGCAATAAACAATCAAGCTGGGGTACCTTGGCAGATTGCTCATTTACTTGGAACAAATCTTACTACCGAAACAAGAAGGCAACTATAGATCTGTCTTCATTATCTTTACAACACTGACTAATATTTCAGAGTTCACATAAGCATACATGCTTTGCCTAGTGCTAGAACCGGAAAATACTTATATGCAACAAAGGATAATACTCATACAGCCTTATCCATCACTAAAATGCCACATTTCTCGCTCTGTCGATGTTTCGAATTACTGGACCAGCACATCCATATCATCTCCACCATTTCCTGCATCCTCTTCAGCCATTTTCCTCTTCTTTTCTTCTTCCTCTGCAAAAAGTATGTAAATTAATAAGTTTCCGAAGCAGCTAGAGCAAGACTAACATGTCAAACAATACAGTCAGGCAAAATCAATAGACTTCCATAAGGTAATATGCTTCAATACTAGGTAGAAAATCCCAAATATGATAAGACACTCTAGAGTCAATCAAAATTAGATTCCGAAGAAAAGCATACCCATAATATGCCAAAAAAGGTCGTCCATCTAGATCACACATGAAGAGCATAACTCGTAACCACTATGTTCAGACTGCTTTATCAGCTTGATCCTAGGATATTCACAACCCACACAAACACGGCAGCTTGCTGTCTAACAGACCGCACCATGCTGCTATCTAACAGACCGAGCCATGCTACTGCCTAACAGATCAAGGGTATCTCTTTTCTTTGCCTAATGCCATGGTTATTCAAGAAAAGTATGACCCCATGCTTATATTTACCAACTCATCTAATATAATTATCTTGTTCATTAAGATTACGGACTAACTCAATGATAGTTTCAAGAGTTTCTCCCACATTTCTCCACTTGCTTAAAACCCACTAGTTCAAAATATATCTAGCTGCACGCAAATATTTATGGTGTTGCTCTGATCACACCTTATCAATGAGTTTAAGGAATTTTTACCTCATATAGCAAAGGTTAACACCTTATTTATTTTAAATAAATACGATTTAATAAAATTATATTCTATAGATACCTTTCAAGGTTTATAGCAAAATATTTAATTTTGGTTACCTCCTAGCCCTAAGCCACTAAATACACTAATCAGTTACACTATTTTCTTTCTCTCTCTACTTTGATACATCCCATTCTCTTCCCCCATCCCATTAAAATTTTCGATCTCCTCCTCCTTCCACCGATTTTTTTTCTATCCCTTCCCACTTTCCCCTCCCTTTATACGCTAATCAACTTTTTTTCTTTCTTTTTGCCTTTGTCTTCTTCTGGAACTGAACTGCAGTAGAGGGTGCGGTCGTGGAAAGAGGAGAGTTGCAACTTTGAATTGCTAGTTGCGGTGGAAACTGGGCCGCCACTCGACGTCAAGTCCAACAAGGAGATGGCGGCGGTCGTAGAAAGAGGATTCGGTTTCGGAGATCCACTGAGTGACGATTTCTTTCTTTCGCGATGAAGAACATTTCTTTTAATATTTTTCAATGCAATTTCAACGTATTACGCTGTATTTTCATGATTTTAATTGTATTCATTGTCTTTTTTTTTTCATTGTAATTCAATGTATCTAGCCGTATTCCATGTATTTTATTGTATTCTCTGTCTTTTTTTCATTGTATTTCGGTGTATCCCGCTGTATTCTATGTATTTCATCGTATTCACTGTCTCGCTATATGCCATGAATGTATTCATAAGTTTTTTTTAATTAATATAATTTATGTATTCAGATGTATTATATAATTTCTCTAAAGATTGCTATGTTTTTGGGGTATTTTTTGGTTGAGAATCTTTTTTATAACTGAAAATACAAATTGTGTGTTATAATTGAGTTTGTTGAGTTATATTAGGAGTCTATTATGTTAATTGATTCACTTTCCGTTTTAAAAACAGTGTAATCCCCTATTTCACGCCGTGAATACAATCGAATACAATAATCTGTCCAGCTGTAATCCCATTTTTCACTCCATGAATACAGTCGAATACACTCGAATACAACAACTAATTAGCTGGACTTCCCTAATTCACGCCTATTTTTGCTACAGCATTCATGAATACAATAGCTTAAATACATCAAATATATCTTATAACCATATAAAAGGTATCTATAATCCGTAATATAGCAAATGGTATCTATAGATGGCTAATTACTACTAAAAGATAGTGTTTTATGAAAATTTCCCTTTAAAAATTCTACCATTTGTAAAAGTAGCTATTAAAGGCCGCTCGAATTGCTTATTTTGACCATATCATAGTTTCACAAATGTAACCAATAGATGTTTTTGCTCTCCATCCACCAAACAAAGCACTTTTACTCGAAAGATTGTCAAGGTTAAGTGCATCAATAACATTCCAAAATAGAGATAGCGTAACATTCTTAAAATTTGTTTTCCTCATGCTCTCTTTACTAGTGTTGCATTATCCCAGACTAAACTACTTTCTCAAGTTATTCTTTTGTTTGTCAATCCCTTCCAAAGTCGGAGGATCCTTGGAACTTGCTCACTTAAGGCACATCACCAGTATAAGCTACCATTTTAACCTTAGAAAAAAAAGTATAAGCTACCATTTAATTTGTTTACAGTTACTGTGATGTAACATACATTAGCAACTTTGTGCCTAATATGCTATTTAATAAGCCTTATGAACATTAGTTAGTATTTTAGGGGTTGTTTGGTTCACTCCTTTTGTTACTTTCTATGAGAATCCATAAAACTGTAGCCCCCAAGGCCTAGCTCAAGTGGCAAAGGGTGGTGGATTTGTGTCTTAGGTCACAGGTTCAAGCCTCCACACCATGCAAAGCAAAGCCTGGTATTTAAATGGAGAAGGGTAGAGGGGCGGGCCCATCATCCACCGAGTTTCGAAAGCTGTTGTTGGTCCAAAGGATCGGCCCCAAACGGATTTCTCGGTCATCAAAAAAAAAAAAAATTGATAACTATATATAAGTAACAAATGATATATGAGGCATTTGGCAGTTTATTGTCATATTTGGCGAGAAGAAATTTTGTTTGGATATGCAGAAACTCAGAAATAGTCAAAGATCATTTTTTATCAAACTATTTTAGATATTCATGGTATTTATCCTTTACATACAATAATTCTTCAATAATATCATATAATGCCAACTAATTTGTTCGGACTCTTCAGCTTAGTGCCGCACCCGTGTCGCCACGACGTGGATATGGATGTGGAATCCTGCTAGATTTGATCAACCAATTTTGGGTACTTTGACCAAAATCAACAGAGAAATTTGGAACAGATACAATGATTTTTGAAAACAAAAGAAAAGCTAGGGTGATATTTAAGAAAATGGAATACCTTGTATATAGAAATTTCTATGTCAATCCTTTTCGTTTTATCTCCCTCTCGGATTCTACTCTTGTTCGGAATACCTTGTATGTTTTCCACATAATGTCTCATACCTACATATTTTTATAACTTTATTTTTAAATATTTGAATTATTTTTAGCCAAATTACTGCACCCGAAATGGATTTGTATTCCCGAATCTTAAAATTTAGATCATGAAGGATCTGACATCTAGATCCGTACCCGTATACGACACCCGCACCTAAGTCCGAGCAATTTAGACTGTCAAGGCATAATATTGATATGTTTAAGATTGATAATCTTTATCTCCATTTTCTTTTCTGTTTTGTTCATCTAAAAACGGACATATCTATATATTTACGAATTATATAAGTCTTGTGTTCCTATTTTCCTGTTAGTATGATAGAATCATTTTGGTACTCTGTCCATACTTTAATTATGTCTCTTTAGTCTTTATTAGATTTTGGTCAAACTACGACAAACAAATTGCGACGATTGAATTCTATTTTACTTTTATGTGAGCCAGATAATATTTTCTATGACAATATTTCAAAAAGAATTTAAGTATTACAGTTATACTACAATTTTGTATAATTGTATATATATAAATTTTATTTTAAACATCTCAAGAAATTAACATCTATATTCATGTATACATGTGTATAGAGAGCATATTTGTTATATGTATCTTTTAGCACAGAGAACGTATTTGTTATATGTATCTTTTAGCACAAATATGTAGCATATTTTAAAATCGAAATTCTATGAATGCAAATATTATTTGTAAGAAGACATAGTTTTACTGTTAATCAATCAATATGATTTCATTGAACAAAAATAATGAAAGTCTGATGCTCAAGTGTCAACATATCTTGGTTAAAGAGCTATTATACTGTTGTATGATGAAGGTTTACGGAAACATAATATGTTTATTTGAGTAGGGGTCTGATTAAGGTTCTTCAAAAAAAAATAGGGAATGACATAGCATGGGAGTCAGATCAGGGTAACCACTCTAAAGGGCAAGCTAAACTTCCTTACTGTTTTCTAAGTTTGTACCATTATAGAGGTGTCTTATGTTTTACTTTTTTACACTTTTTTTGCGCCATAATTAAGGTATCGGATGTGCTCTCTCTATTTTATTTTTTTTGGGCATCCTAGCAAAACTGCTAATGAAGTTTTCATGCTTGTAATTCTACTTATCTTCTTTCTTTTTTAAAATTTCTTGAATCATTTCCTTTCAATAATATCTTAAATCATAACAAATTGAATTTTGATATAATTACGTAGCTTTAAAAGCAAAATTTCCCTGAAGTGACATCTTTGAATGGTTTAATAACATTGAAGCATTTTGATTTTTGCTATTAATCACATTTGAGCTTGTATTTTTCCCCTTTAAACCTATTTTAACCTTTACACTCATGTGTTTAACAATGCTTATGCCATTTTAAATAGTTTGTACTGATTGACATGGGATAGACGTGCAACACACGTGCTCAGAAACTAGTAGAAACTTTAATTCTAAAGTTACTAAAGTAGTTGCCCAAAAATAGCTGCTCATTTGACTGCAATTTTGTTGAAAATCTAAACTTAAGTATGAAGCTTATTTGTCTGAAAGATATCTCAATAAGAATCTAAAATTATAAGTAACCTAGGAATTATCCATGAGAAATTCCTACTTGTACAGAATTACAGTAACTTAAGTTACTTTAACCATTGGACTGCTACTTTGTTGAAAATTCAAATTTAATTATGAAGCTTATTTGTATGAAAGATATCTTAGGAAGAATCTAAAATTATGTGGAAGTAACCTAGGAATTATCCATAAGAAATTCCTATTGTTACAGAATTATAGTAACTTTACAGTTTAAGTTACTTTGTCAAGGTGTTAAGCTGCCCATTCTTCCTAAGACTCCACCACCCCCATCAAGAAGCCAAGATCCCCGCGTCCAAACCCCAGTGAAATTCACCGGCAGCCGAGCCCTCACGCACGGCCAACTCGC